CATAAAGACAAAAACTGTCAGAAGCTGATGTTCTTCAGAATCAATCGTTCTCATCGTATTCACTCCAATCGACCATACCTTCTGCACTCAATTAAAAACTATATCTATGTCGTACAAAATGAGAATAATGGAGTCTCAAAAATGGGCTCAATATCATTTTAGGTGCTATCGCAATATACGGGGCACTGTGATGACAGTGCATTCAAACCGCGGAAAAGATGGCTTTTTGTTAAAAGAGGGACTAACCTTACACGGGTAGGAGAGGCTTTAATGTGCCAATTTCCCGGAGCTCCTGCCTCCTCGTCAGCGTAGTCCTTGCAAATGCCGTATGTTGGCTGATAGCGGCCCATTTCTGCTTTCCATATCGCTGTTGGCAATACAAAAGAATATGCCGCTGGAATGAATATTGTAGATGATGTCAAAGGAATACTCACTGTTAGTTCTCGGCTTTTTAGTTTTCGCTTCAAATTGGGACGAAGCGCCTTATGATAATCTTGTTCTAAGCCATACGTTTATGGTTGTTACTGCTCAGGCGATCTTTGCGTCCTCTTCGATTACTCATGGTTGATATGATGACTGTTCGCTATACATAACGCCTCGTTTATGAAGTATCACCTGGTCTTCGTTACTGTGGAGCACCCTGTTACGCAATTTCGCTGTGAACAAGGAACATTGAAAAGAAACCTCAACGGTGGGCAAATTCACTCTGCAACTGAACAATGGAACATTTGCTCGTTTGTCTCGTTTCGTTGCAGAAACTCAGTTCTCCGGTTGGTTCCATTGGGATCCATGACGTCAAGCAATTTTGGTGGCAATAGGACTTCCTCCTTCTATTCAACTATCTCTGCCTCCTGAAGACTCCTCTACCTAATACATAAGTGCTCTTCTGCTGCCCACTCTGTAATAACTCACCTTTTTTAATCTACTGGGTAATAATGGTTAAACTAAAGGCTTTTATCCCGTGTTTTTAGTATATTATATAAAGCCTATATTTGTTGTACAGGCGTGGGCAAAATTACTGGGCGCCATAATGTTGGCTTTAGCATTTCAAAAATGAACTTCGGTGAATCAAATATACTATAAGTTATTGTTTGCTACAAATATGACAATCTTGAAAGTGCTAGTGTTTCCGAAATGACTCCCTTCCTTCACGGAGTTCCTGACAATTCTGATAGACACTTCGCCTGCGACACGCTTGTAATGCTCAGCAGTTATGCTCCAGTATTGCAATGGCGTTGTTTCAAGAAACTCCAAGGCTACGTAGCTCTCAGGGCAGGTTTTTCTCTACATTACATCGTCGTAAAGTCTGGAGAAACTGAAAGATATCCGTCGTAGCTAAGTTGAAGTCAAGCATTAGGCGTACCCATCCTGCACCGCTAGCCTTTCGAAGTTATACGACCCCTGGCCTGAGAAATTTCCTATGAAATTTTTGTCAACTGTTTGTTGATTGGTGACATGGCTTTCGGCGTAAACAAGTGGAGTTTTCCTGATGTGATAATTCCATTTCAAACCATAATGTTTTGAATGCTCCGCCGTTTCATGGAATCGTTTTTTTTTTGGCAGTAGCATCGACTAATGTCTACCTGCCCGACCAGATACCAAATATGAACTGTGTCAAAGTATGGCAACCGAAAACCTAGAAGAAATTTGGCAGTCACTGCCAGCGTAGCACACACGCGGAGCGAGAGTAAGCTAGCTGAGGAATTGAATCAAAGCTGAAGAAGTGCATTTTCGAAACCGCTAGTGTTTTTCTGAACGTCATATTTGTTAGATAATATTCCTAGTTAAATTTGATTAAAGACAGTTTATCTCGGAATAAAACTAAAGTACTAGTGCGGTAGTACTTTCGCCGACCTCTATGTATCTATGGTCAAACAGATAGTCGCCCCTTGACTGCGGGGGCATAATGAGTGGCAATTTGGAAAACCTTGATGAGTAACGATGGTTGAGCACGATTGGTATGCAATTTTGCTTCATAGAATCTAATCAGTAATGCACGTATAATAATATTCATTATTTCAACATCTGACACGAACACCTCTCGAAGGTTCTTTTTGATATTGTCTTGCCACAGAGGGTCATTTGCAACGGCTCTTTCCTCGCAAACTGATCTAGTTCCATCCTCATTTTCTGTGAATATTTGATAATTTGAAGAACCTAACGAGTCGCCATCCTTAAAGAGGGCCTGATCCTCAATCAGTCAGACTTAATGGGCAGAAGAGTCGTGGCACTGTTGCGGCTTGAAGGTTTGCCTTTGCTCTGACCGCTGCGACCGCTGCCATTTTTCGTTAGCTGCACACCCGCCGTCTGCTCTTTCTCGCACTACGAGCTCTTGGATATTATTCCCTCATCCTACCTTCTATATCATATCCACGGTGGACCACGGAAGCGTCTCTATTTTCAGATGCCTTTCTAAAAATCTTTTGGTTTTTTTTTCTTGAATACGGTCCCTCCTTGCACCTGTTGTTTCATTTTCGAAGGAAGCAACACAACAATTCCATTCTGATCAGTGCCTTTGATTGCTAGTGTATACACACGGTGCCGTTATGCCCAACGCCACCGTGTTCAAGGCTTTCTCAATTCCAAGAGGAACACCTCTTTGATCTGTCTTTCGCTTTCGTCAAGTGTTGATGTTTTGTTTCTGCGTATGCCTTTTGTAGACGTTATTAGCTTAAAGTCAAGTGAAACGCCCTTTAGTAGTACCTCTAAGCTTATTTTGAGCCTAAGACACTACTGAATGTCCCAGAGCGGGCAGTTGTGCTTCCTAATGGCGATCACAAACCTGACTTCTTGATTGACTTGAATGCAAGCTGTGGCATTGCCAGCGTAAAAATATCTAGCACACACACACGCAAAGCGCACGACGTCCGCATGCGAGGTTACATCTGAGAGGAGACAGCTGAATATGAATCAATTCTACACTGCTGAAACAGGGCGTCCATCTTTTGAAACCACCATCGTCTTAGGGCAAACACAATTGGCTTTTGATTCGCGATTTAGTTCCTATTATTCATCGTGGTCGCGGCACGTAATTTGGCCACCAATAGTAGCTCAAGAAGTCGTAGTAGCGTTTCAAGCCCGATATGGAAAATGTATACAGTGATCCGGGCGCCCTGTAATGTAAATTCCCAAACTGTCTGAGATACCAATTAGCCGACATTGGAGCGAGGAAAGGTTGGCCTGGACTATGTATGTACAATCTATGATTTGATCCCCAATCGTGTACATGATACGCACTCTCTCTTTCCACTGCACCACTTAAAGAAAGCGATCACCGATCACACCGGCTTCGAGGTGGAGCTGCTGCCCACGCGTTGTCAATCAGTAAGATCTGAGATATGTATTTTTTGGACGAACGCAACCCTATGGGAGATACGATAGCACAACATAAGAAGATAGGCTGCTTGGAAAGAGGTGCAGTGATAAGGAACCACCGCCCCTGAAGCCTTACCTATCGTCTCTTTGAGCAGGGCCCTAACCATCCAATACTTAGATTTTTCTATTTATCATTTTT